TCCAAAAACAAAAGTAAAACCTTCACTATCTAATACATGAATAGAAATAAGGTTTCTAATGAGCGACAGAACAAATAAACAATCGTTCAAAACAATAGGAAAACTAGAATCCAAAATATTTAAGTAAATTGTGCCAATGGCTTCAGCAGCAACTCTTGCTCCATTCCCCATCCTTAGGTAGGTCTCACCCGCTCTAAGTCTTCGACTTCTTGTCATTAGCTGCAAATCATTGCACAAATGTGAGCCACAGCCAGTATCCAATACCCAAGAAGAAGAGTTGACAGATAAATTTACGTCAATGAAATACGTACCCTTTTCAGAACCTTTCTGCTTTAGGTAAGCCTTGCAGTTGCGGCGCCAATGTCCTTTCTTTCCACAGTGATGGCAAGCATCATCAACTTGCTTACCAACCTTTGCTTTGGGGCCCCCACTACCTTCACCCACTTCGAACTTGCTGTTTGGGAAGGGAACTCTTTCCTTTCTCTTCTTTTGGAAAGAACTCTTCTTTCTAAAAGTAGCAGCAATGAGAACAGACTTCTCTTTCTTAATGGTGGACTCGAAGCTGACCAACATGTTCATTAACTCATCCAAGGGAGGATCTAGTTTGTTCATGTTGAAGTTCACTATGAACGATTCATAGGAACTAGGAAGAGACAACAGGATCAAATCCAACGAGAGCTCGTCCGGGAGGGTGACATCAAGATTCACTAGCTTTTCAAGGAGAGTGATCATTTTGAGACAGTGCTCGTGGACCGAAGTCCCTTCGCGCAGTCTCGCTGTGATCAACTTCTTTGTAGCAGCGTACCTCGATGCCCTAATATTCTCACTATACATGCTATCGAGATGAGCCTTTATATCGAAAGCATGCATGTGAGACTCATATTTCCTCGCAAGCGCGGGCTCCATGGCGGCTATCATATAGCACCTAGCATGAGTGTCATCTTTCTTCCAAACTTCATAAGTTTCCTTTTCAGCATCAGTCGCTGTGGCAGGTATAGTGGCGGGAAGCCTCTCGTTCAAAACATAGAGACGCCCCTCAACGGTTAGCACAAGCTTAAGACTACGCAACCAATCTAGGTAATTAGGGCCATTGAGTTTATTGTCGAGGATAGACATTATGGGATTCTTAGACATGATTATCTGAGAGGTATAGAGAAGAGGATTATTAGAGATTCGCGTTAAATGATTGTTACAATTAAATGTTTGGACTTATGTTATTTAATTGTTCTCCCACTAATTTTATCGAGTTCCACTTCCCTCTAGTAGACAAACGAGAAAACTGATTTTTCTTAATGGGCTTTAGGTCCAATAGACAAATATAACCCGTAGTTAATCTAGCCCGATTATATTTGCCCAAAGGTAGATCACAATCAATCATATCCACAATATGACCCTAAATAAAATTTTCCTCACACTTGATAATGACCTAAGTTAATCTCGCGAATATCAAAATCGTCGTGTGTCAAGTCTAACCTACCAATCAAAGATGCTCATAGAACTTGATTATGCCAAACTAATGCAGTCCCTAGTTAATCTAGCCGACCACGTTAATCCAACATAACCCTTTTCTATGGCTACCTTCATCGCTATGTCAATTGAATTACAGCTTACTCTACCATAGCACTCCCCGCTAACACGGCTTACTGCACTACAGTAAAGGGCTACACATAATCCAACCGTTGGCAGAAGTAAAGAAATAACTCAACAGATTGGGTTTTTCTTTATAGCTTGAAATGATTCTTAATTAAATTAAGAATGAGGGATTTTATTAAAAGTTTTTTATCTCATCAGAAGGTTCGGATTGGTCTATGTGATTCCTACATCTATGTTCTCTAAAGGTATATGGAAACGCATATTGTCCTAAGAGGAACATACGACCTAATTATATAATTAATTACATTAATTAATTATCGGGTTTTTCAAAATAATTATAGAACCTCAACTAGCATAAATCATTCATATAATGTTGAGGTACTACTAATTAAGTTGAACTTATAATCAATATTATATTTGTGTTCTATTAATTGAAATTAATTTAACAATTTAAATCAATTTGATTAATCTAACACCTATTTACTAAAATAGATGATTGTTGATCCAATTATCTAATTGGGATTAATTGAAAATAATTTTCCAAAAATTAAAATCAATTTGTTTTAAGTTTAATTTTAGAAATCTGAAATAATTTTATTTTATTTTTTTTTTTTTTTCAGTGAACCGGTTCGGCCCAACCGGTCTGACCGGTTCGGACCGAAGCGGTCCGGTTCTGTCCGGTCCAGCTGACCCAAATCAGTGGGCCGGGTCAGTCGGACCGGGAACCGGTCTGACCGACCCGAATCTACGTGGATTCGGTCAACTAGATCGCACACAACCATCGAACCGGCCGGTTCGACCGGTTCGATCCGAACAATTAAAAACCGATGTTTTAAAAACAATTTCAGATCCGATTTTCCAATTTTAAACAATTTTAAAGCTGTAAAAATTCTAAACAATATTTCAAAAATATTTTAAACTTACGAAAACTCCCAATTACATAATACAACAATCACTACTTTAATAAATCGAACATGCATAAAATCATAGCATATTATACGACGCAATTAATTATGCAACGAGCTCTGATACCACTGTTGGGTTTCGGGCACGCATACGCAGCGGAAAACAAAAATTTAATGTGATTTAAACGACTTTAAAGCACACAAGTACATGCCCGACAAATTAAATCAATTAATTGCGTACCTTTGCGCTTCCAGCGAAATTAAAAACAACATACATGCTAAATAATTTAACCGAATTTAAATCAATTAACATGCTCGTGTTTAAACCAATAATCATGCTTGCAAAGATTATAACGATTACACATAATCACATAAAATCATATGATAGCAAACATGAATACACAGTTTAAACGTAAATGAATCGAAACTAGGGTTTCGTGTATTTACCTCTTGAAGCGTGAGGTATGAGCGTTTAGCAAGTCGAGATTGCTACGGAAACCAATCCGTACAATCGGGGCAGCAGCGGTGCAGCGGCAGCAGCAGCAAATCGGCCACGGCGGCGCGTGAGGTACACGCGCGGTCTTCCGGGGCGGCGCGTGGGGCAGCGTGCGGCTTCGGCTCGTGCGCTGCTCTTCGATTCCTCGATCTTCGATCTTCCTCCTCTCGGATTTCACCTCGTATACTTCGATCTACTAAACACGTGGCACTAGACACGTAATAGTTAGAAAAACGGAAGAAAAAGAGAAGGAAAGAAGCTACCAAACCAATCGGCCGATGGACGGCCGATTCCGGCGAAACGGCAGGGAGGACGGCCGGTGGTGGCCGCGGAAAGAGAGGCCGAGAGAGAGAGGGGTGGACGGCTGCTAGGGTTAGGGTTTCACTTGTTTGTGCAAGACCTATAAATCTTGTATTTATAGTGTCTTGCATAAAACCCTAGCGGGCTTAAGTTGGACCGGGCCCAACAGCTTAAGTTCGTTAGTTTCTTTAATTGCTCGTCTCTCTTAATTCAATGATCGGAAAATTGCAACAATTACATTTTCGGAATCATTATAATATCCTCGTCATTACGAGTGGCATCTTTCATTTTCCAACTTTCCAAAAGTGGAAACCCTAGTTCAGTGCACTTTATAAATTTGGAAACTTCCCGATTTAGAAAGTTCACTAACACGTTCCCCTATTCTTTTCCTTTTCTCATTCTCATTCATAATTCCAAATTACGAACGTTGGACTCAATCATATTGACTTCCAATCATGCAAAGATAAACTATTTTATCTCTGACCGTTTATTCAAAGATCTCATGTGCACGAGCAGTGTGACCCTCGATGGTTCAGGTGTAAGCTAGCCGTGGGCCCACAACTCTTTGAGGTCAAAACTCGTCCCTTAGAGTTACGATTAAGATGAAGCTCGTTTCACCTTAATCACCCAACGAATCAAGATTGGCGTCTAGCAACTACGCGTCATGATTCCCTAGATACAAATGAAGTGCCTGCAAGAACCTTCAGATATAGTTAACGTACAGTACGGTCCCTTCGATTCATATGTCCCGATCGAACTAGAGGCATTGGTTCATCGAGACCTCTTTATATGTTCGATGACAATGCGATCGTTCTAAGTGTTGTAATCCTTACGTGCATGACTTAGAGAATCGAATTCTCTAATCATCACTTAGTCAGCTCTGGCCAGAGACTTAGAATGATTACAAACTTTCAGAACACACATGACATCCAAGACTATTCTAGCGATCGAATCCCCGACTACAATGCACAGACCTCCCACTAGATTTCGGACTGCACGAACACTGGCCCTTGGGATGGTCCTCGGTGGAACTCAGGGACAGGTCACGATACAGCTGGTCCTCTAGTGAAGTCACGGTGATGTCTAGGTCATAAGGACTAATGGTGTACAACTATACCATAGCTATCTCTACTCGATTATTGGGAACCACTTAGAGATTTCTAGGGTGAGGGAGTTCAGTGAACTCGTCAACTTACGAGCACCCACTTATGCATGCCGATATCACAATACCGTTTACTGATGAGATGCAGTACACATACACTAAGTGCTAGTCTTAATGGGAAAGGCCGATATCCTCATTAGTGGCGTAACCCTTCGACTAGGAACACGTTTAACAGTTATAATACTTGAGTAAATATCTCACGATCCTAACGATCAATTACTAGTACTTGTAATAACTGTAAGGACTATATCTATGCTTGTGACAAAGGGACAAAGATATAGAATGCCAAGATGTTTTATCATTAATACGAATAAAGGTTCGTTTATTACAATAATAAATACGAAAGACCACAACCACAAGTTGGCTTGTTGGTCACCTACTCTAACAATTACCTCAAGGAGTAAAGATCTCGGGGTTACCACAATTTGAAGGGACCACCGACCCGCAGGAGCACATAGAGAAATTCAGCGCCATGGCGGATTTATATGGCCCGACGGATGCTGCGATGTGCAAAATGTTCCGCACCACTCTCTCCAAGAGGGCAATGAATTGGTTCAACTCTCTACCCATGGGGTCGATTGACACATTCGCCCGGTTGTCAACCCGGTTCACCAACCAATTCGCCATCAACAAACAATATGCCAAGACCCCGGCTCATCTTTTCTCTATAGTACAGAGAGATAACGAGACGCTCCGCAACTACATTAAGCGTTTCGTAGAGGCCGTCCACGAAGTCCCGAGTGTAGAGCAAGACATGCTCTCCGGGATTATGCAGCAGAACTTGAAACCGGGTAGATTCAAAGAATCTATCGCCGGGAGACCTCCAGGCAACCTAGAGGAGTTGCTGAATCGAGCCGAAAAATACGTCCGGATAGAGGAAGCATCTACCCATGCTCCTCCTAAAAGGGAAAGGGAAGATGACCGTCAAGACAATAGGAGGCGCGATGATCGACGTCCACCACTTCCACCTCAAGGCCAACCCTCTTCCTCCTACAATAGGTTCACTCCGCTAAACACTCGCCTCACGGAAATCCTTCACGTGATAGAACAGAAAGGTTTAGCAGAGCCTCCACGTCCTATGCAGCCAAACGCAAAGCGAGAAAAGTCGGATCGTTATTGTCGATTCCACAAGGACATAGGGCATACTACGGAGGAATGTGCACAACTCAAAATGGCGATCGAGAGGCTGATCAAACAAGGCCATTTAGGCGAATACATTGATAAGCCTCGAAATAAGCGCCGTGATGATCCTCCACGCCGAGATAATAATCGAGATCAACAGCAAAGGCGAGAGGATGGGGGTCACCGACGTGACCTAGATAACAACGATAACCAACCCACTCGCGGAATCATCTCCTTTATCTCCGGAGGACCAGCGGGCGGCGACTCGCAAAATGCAAGACGCACCCTCGCTCGATCAGCGCGCATGAATCAAGAACGTGCTTCTCCATCCACACGCATCTATCAAATACGAAGACCTGATCATAGCATAGTCTTCAACTCCTCCGACCTTGAAGGTCCAAATGAAGATCATGTCGACGCATTGGTAGTAACAACAACGGTGGCCAACTTCTTGGTCAAGAAGATATTAGTGGACGGTGGGAGCTCAGCTGACATCATGTACCTCCACGCTTTTAAGCAGCTGGGCATAGATAATGCCCGGTTTAATCCCGTCTCCACACCCCTGAAAGGATTCACAGGAGAAGGCATTTTATCCATGGGAGAAGTAGAGTTGCCCGTCTCTTTAGGGGAAGACCCTTGTCGAATCACCAAGCTAATCAAATTCCTCATCGTCGACAAGCCATCTCCCTACAACGTCATCTTAGGGAGGCTAGCCATCCATACATTCAAGTCCGTACCTTCCTCCTACCATCAGAAGTGGAAATTCCTGACCCCCTATGGAATGGGGGAAATACTTGGAGATAGACGTCTCGCCCGAGAGTGCTATGCAAGGGCCTTACGAGAACCTTCCAAGAAGCCTAAACCATCCGGAAGGGGAGACGACACCCAAAAATCCGACCAACGGAAGTGGGTCAATGCGATCATTGAGGACAATAAAGAAATCCTCATCAGTGTACCAGACGATAGCATCAAGCTAGCGGCTGTCGAAGAGCTTAAGCTCATAGAGCTCACACCTGGAGATGATTCCAAACTCCTACGCATCGGATCCGATTTAGATCCTGAGATGGAGAAGCAATTAGTCAAATTCTTACGGCACAATGGAGACGTGTTCGCTTGGAAAGCTCAAGATTTGTCAGGCATCCCCTCTCATGTAGCTCTACACCGGCTTAACATCGACAAAAGGTTGAAGCCGATCAAACAAAGAAAACGAACGTTTGGACCCGAACGCAACAAGCACATCAAGGCAGAAGTAACGAAACTTCTAGACGCGGGTCATATACGGCCAGTTCAGTATCCTGAATGGTTGTCGAACGTAGTACTCGTTCCCAAACCCGGAGGAAAGTGGAGGTTATGCGTGGATTTCACTGACCTCAACAAAGCTTGTCCTAAGGACCCATTTCCCTTACCTAGAATCGACCAACTCATCGATTCAACTTCGGGATGTGAGCTCCTCAGCTTCCTTGACGCTTATCAAGGATATAACCAAATCTTGCTCGCACCAGAAGATCAAGAGAGGGCTAGCTTCATCACAGACCAAGGCATCTACTGCTATCGAGTCATGCCTTTCGGATTAAAAAATGCGGGAGCCACTTACCAACGTCTAGTGAATGCCATGTTCGCAGATCAGATCGGTAAGAATATGGAGGTGTATATCGACGACATGCTCGTCAAAAGTGTCAAGGTCTCGGACCACCTAACTGATCTAGATCAGTGCTTCGCTACCCTGCGAAAATATAAAATGAAACTCAACCCCCTCAAATGCTCGTTCGGAGTTCGGGGTGGCAAATTTTTGGGATACATGATTTCCCAGCGGGGAATCGAAGCTAATCCCGCAAAAATCGAAGCAATTACCTCCATGCCTCCACCGACATCTATCAAGAAAGTCCAACAGCTTAACGGTTGTTTGGCATCTTTGAATAGATTCATTTCTCGATCAGCGGACAAAGCCCTCCCCTTCTTCAAAATTTTAAGGGGAGGAAAGAAATTTGAATGGGATGAAGCATGTCAAAAGGCATTCCTTGAGCTGAAGTCGTACCTAGCATCCCCACCCCTACTCACAAAGCCTCAGCCCGGAGACACCCTCCTACTATACTTAGCTACCTCAGCTAATGCCGTCAGCGCAGTCCTCATCCGAGATGGAGGAAAAGGCCACCAACCCATATACTACATAAGTCGCGCCCTCCAAGGAGCCGAACAACGCTACACCAACATGGAGAAACTCGCTCTCGCCCTCATCAACGCAGCTCGGAAGCTTCGACCTTACTTCCAGTCACATCAAGTGGTGGTTCTCACCCATTATCCTCTGAAGCAAATACTAAGGAGTCCTGAGACATCCGGAAGATTAGCAAAATGGGAGATAGAGCTAAGCGAATATGGGGTCGAATTCAAACCCCGCCCTGCTATCAAAGCGCAAGTATTGGCGGATTTTCTAGTCGAAATGACTTCAGTAGAAGAAAGCACTTCTTCACCTACTTGGTCTGTCAACGTCGATGGATCTTCCACTGCCACAGGAGGGGGAGCGGGTATCGTCCTAACGAACCCTGATGGAGATGAGTTCGAATATGCTCAACGATTCGAATTCACAGCCTCAAACAACGTCGCTGAATACGAAGCCCTGATAGCGGGAATCCGCCTCGCCCTAGCAGCCGGAGCGCGCAAGCTCCTAATCCAAAGCGATTCTCACCTCGTCGTTAACCAAGTACTCGGAGTTTACGAGGCCAAAGAAGACATCATGGCCAAAAACTTAGCTCTCGCGCACACTCTCTTATCTAAATTCGAGAGCTATGAGATAAAACAAGTACCTCGCTCCAATAACGTCCATGCAGACAAATTAGCTAGGCTAGGAAGCTCCATGGCCAGCATCGGAAGTCGGAAGGTGACGCTCCTCACCTCACCTCAGCCGGAGATAAATTCGCCTACTGAAGTACACTACACCGAGGAGGATGAACCATGCTGGTTCACTCCAATTCTGAAGTATCTCAAGAAGGGGGGAACTTCCAACGGATCCCACTGAAGCACGGAAGTTAAAAACAAGAGCCGCCCGCTTCACTATAGTGGGAGAAGAACTGTATAAACAAGGTTTCTCATTCCCCTATCTCAAGTGCCTCGACCCGACCACAACGGATTACGTACTTAGAGAAGTACACGAAGGCATCTGCGGTAATCACTTAAGCGGGAGAACTTTAGCTCTCAAACTACTGAGGCAAGGCTACTATTGGCCAACGATGCATGAAGACGCGAAGAAGTTAGTCCGGAAGTGTAAGCCCTGCCAAGAGCATGCAAATATCACTCAACTGCCAGCGGCATTAATGCAACCAATTGACAGCCCCATCCCTTTCGCCCAATGGGGGATGGATTTAGTTGGACCATTCCCGCCCGCTACAGGAGGACGCAAATACCTCATTGTAGCAGTGGACTACTTCACCAAATGGGTGGAAGCTGAACCCTTAGCACGCATCCGAGAAGAAGAAGTCATCCAATTCCTATGGAAAAACATCGTGTGTCGCTTTGGAATCCCACGTTCCATTGTCTCAGATAATGGAACACAATTTTGCGGTGACAAAGTGAACAATTGGTGCCTCGGCTTAGACATCAAACAGTTTTTCACATCCGTAGCCAATCCACAGGCTAACGGCCAGACGGAGGTCACGAATCGCACCATACTCCAACACCTTAAGACAAGGCTTGGAAGTGCCAAAGGGAAGTGGGTGGACGAATTGCCTAACGCACTATGGGCTTATCGCACAACCCCACGAGCAGCAACCGGAGAGTCGCCTTTCAATCTAGCTTTCGGAACAGAAGCTATAGCACCCGTTGAAATAGGTGAACCATCTTGGAGAATCACCAACTATGATCCAGCAACTAATGAAGAAGCTATGCGAGGAAGCCTAGACCTTGTAGATGAGCTACGAGAGATCGCATACATCCGGCAACAGATGTACAAATCACGCATGGCCAAGACATATAACTCAAAGGTCCGTCCCCGCTCCTTTCAAGTTGGGGATTTAGTCCTCCGGAAAGCTGAAGCCTCCCACCCCATTGGCAAGCTCGACCCAAAGTGGGAAGGACCATATAAAATCACAAAAGTGGTCAACACTGGAGCATATCGCCTCGAGAACATTGATGGACACCCTATACCCAGAACATGGAATATAGGGAACCTCAAACGGTTCTACGCCTAAGGTATACATCTGCCTTACTTCAGATCAGTTGAGGTCACCATCCATACCCCTTCTATATGAAAGTTACTTACAAATTGTCACATCTGCAGGCTCCGCGACCTTCCACGTAACTCGTCTTGTAAGCTGTTTCTACATGGTTAGAAATTTTCTACTACATAACTAGGTGCGTTAACATCCTACCTAAACTGGGGGGCTAGTAAATTTATTTTCACCAGCAATTCATCATCACATCCCACCATCTTATTACAGATTGAGAGCCAATTACGAGGGGATGCATATTACTCAATCAACGGCCCAAAGAGCGAGAACACTCCATACCACATCGCCAAGGGTAACTATACTTCCACTAGCATTCAACACACGGATGATCTTATTTACTCCTACTAACGTGAAAAAATAAGTCCACTAGCAGGCATGATCGCATAGTAACTCGCAGCAACTCACGAGTTGATTTCATATCTCGAAGTGCGAGGAAGAAAAAACATCCCCGTAGTATGGTACGTAGATCGGCAATGCACATCCCCTCAGCTTCAATTACTAAGTCTTCAATACAAATGCTTAGACAAAATTCCTTTTTCTCAATTATATTTGACAGGCATAGAGACGCCAAAGGAATTCATTTTACCATCAGCACAGCAAAACAAACGAATACAAGGAAGACGTGGAAGAAGAACAAGTGTAGTACAATCACTTAGAACAATTTTTATCAAATCAATTTTTTTTTTTGCTCCACCAGTAGTTATTTACCTTCGCCTCACGTAGGCCTATCGCATTAATCATTTACTTACATTCGCCTCACATAGGCATGTAACCATTCTCCTTTGCTATCGTTGAATAAATAATACTTTTCGCTTTACTATATACGCCTTTACGTCCATACAAATTACCTCTTACCATGAGTTCAAGTCAATACCACCCTACAAACACTTAGAGAGATTTAGATAATCCGTATAGCCTGGCCAGCTGGATTAGCTAAGTCATTTTATTTGTTTCACGAGGTGTTAATTTTAAAACGTGGCCACGGACAAATATATTTAAGACCCAAGCGGTCCGAACTAAGGGCACGACCCTTAAATAAAACTTGAGAGACTGATCCCCTCCTCAAGTACATCGCGTACAATGCTAAATGTAAATACATATAAGCAGCGCAATAACTCTTGATAATGTCAAAATAAATAATTCAAGATATCAAACTTCAAATGTCAAACAAAGGAGAAATTCAAACGAAATAGTAGAGGACATACCCATCTACATCAGCGATAAAAATAAAACTAAGAATGTAACAAATAAAAAAGAGTTTAACTATCCTAGCAAAAATATCTACACTCCACCACCACGGGCAGAAGACGCCCTCACAGTGGGGTCATCAACAACCATGTCATCCACGAGCTCTGTGCCCGTTTCGTTGCCATCGACCTCATCCTCCTCTTCATCGGATATACCAGCCTCCATCCCACGAATCACTTCCTCGCTGATCCCACCCGCATCGCGCAGATATTTGCGACAAGCACGCACTAATGGCTTATAAACCACAGCCAATGCATCCTCCTCAATCATAGAAGCACACTCATCACTACCTCGGAAATTAGCCTTGGTCTCCTCCACAATGGACTCCTTATAAGCCGCACCACCTGATGTCGTGAGGAACCTCTTCCCCATCGCCTTCTCGACTTCGTATTTCTCCTTGAGCTGGTCGTAGCATTCGTTCAACTTGTGAACATCATCCTTATACGCCTTCGCATCACCTCGGATAATCTCGAGCTCCTCTGTCTTCTGCGCAAGCTCCTCTGTCCTCCGAGCAAGCTCTTCCGAGCGTTGAGCAAGATCGGACCGCGCTACTTCCAACTGGCTTAGAAGATCATCCTCACGCGCCTGAATTCGAGCCCGCTCCTCTTCCTTCCTAGCTTCCACGTTCCTACCATGCTCCATGAGATATCTCCAAGTCGCCACCAACTATATAAAAAAATAAAAAATAACAATATTTTTCGCAAGTCAAGAGGGAATAAAACATAAAAAATTGTTTTAAGTAGACAAGTACTCACCCGACATATGTCCCCACCAGCTAACTCTAGCATGTGAGAAGGACCCTTACCAGACATCCGAGCACGGTCATACTCCCGAACGAATCCCTCGGTACTCAACATCGGCAAATCATAGTCCGACACATCCCAGTACGACTCCTTACCATCACGGTTCACGCCATAAGTAAACAGTTGTTTCCCTCCTCCACCATGGAAAGCATAAGTCTCCTCTGGGTCTACCCGTGGACGCTTAGGCACAGCCACATACTCGGTATCCACCCTCTTTCCCTTGCCACGATCCCTCGTCGGTGGACGCCCCTCCACTTCACCAGCACTGCTACGGTCATCTGCGACTACTCGAGGAGTTTCTACATGGACCTCCTCACGAAGCAAACCACTTGAAGAACCTCCCAACGTAGAGGGTACCTTCTTCGACGTCCCATTCGCCTTAGCTTGAAGTGCCGCAAAGGTGATACCCCCATCTACAAAAGATAACAAACACATAAGAGACATGAGGTATGCACTACCAAAGAACTACAAAAAAAAAAAAAGAAAAAGAAAAAACACACACAAATCAAGCAACAAAAAGATATACGATGCTGACCCTTCGCCTTTGGTATCAAAACCCTCGGGTCAAATTCCACATCACACAATCCCGACTCTTCAATCCTTTTCGCCATATTCACAGTTATCGTGAAACTCTCGCACGTAGGATTCCAAACTACGGGAACGTCAAAAGTGGGAGCCCTCACATAAAAAAAATGGGTCTTCCATTTCCCCAAAGATAACTTCACACTCTTCACGAATAGGTAAGGAACGCGAGGATGAAAACAAAAGAAAGGCGTCTTATTGGGCCGATGTAACGTAAATAACGCCTTGAACAAACTCACGGTCATAGGCAAACCCACTAGAGACACCCTATGGTGAAACGCCTTGAACATAAGAACTGCAGTCGGAGTTAACTGACTGTACCCTATCTTGAATTCCTCACCAACCTTCAACAAGGTCGGATGCGGTGTAATCTGAGATGTACACGTCAAGTACGCCAAGAACACCGTATGAAATCCATCGGCTGGCGAATACAAACGGTCGCCCTTCTGAGGCAACAACAACTCGACATTACTTGGCGCTCCAGATAAACGACGAATAGAGTGCAAATGATCTTCCGTCAACACACTATCAAAATCAACTAAGTCCAAATTAATTGGCTTCCTTTTCTTTTGCCTCCTCTTATCAATCTCAATATCACCTGGCGGAATATCATCTTCCTCCTCCTCTTCATCCGTCAGCTCAACTTCACTACTTGGCACCGCATGATCACTCGCCAAAGGTGCTTGACTCGAACAATCGCTATCACTACCAAAATCCACGACTCGACGCCCATAACGACGTCTACTGGAATCCGCTTCATCAACAGTAGGGCAAATATTAACATTATTACTCACTTCTACATCATCACTCCAAGATTCAATCATTTCCCATCGTCCGACTCTCCCCCCGTTTGAAACACCAAATGCATCAACACTCTCGGCGATTCGCCCGTCGATTACACCCGAATCGGGTCGAAAACGGAGATCCCACGCGCCCTCACGCGCGCGCGTGACCCCAAAAGGGGCTGCTCCACGCGCGCGCGCGTCATCTACCTGCCCCGAGACACGTGCACCCCCCCCCCCCCACTGGCCCCCGCGCGCGCGTCCGCTTCACTCGACCCACCAGACGCGCGCGCGCGTCTCTGCACCGCCTGCCCAGGCACGTGCACACCGTCACCACGTGGACCAATGGCGCGCGCGCGTCCACCTAACCCGCCAACC